ACTGTGCTGACATGTACATGTGGTGCACAACTGGTCTGAGAATTAGGTCAACTTAAGGAGGTGGTCAATGTATAGAGAAGTGTTCAACTTTGGAGGTCCCACAGTATTTACTTGTACTTGCAGCATTTTAAATAGTGAGTGCTTCACATAAATTCACAAATGTGGTGAAGCTAAGCTAAGGGCCACAAAGAGATTTCAGATAACATACAAGTTCTTAGGATACTGGGATCAACAACTATGCCTGCAATTTTCAGTAGCAAACCCCAAATGTATGACCACTTAATTTTATTAGTTTATGTCTACAGCTTCCAAAAAATTTAATCTGTATTTCAAAATCTATAAAATACCAAAAATCATTCTTGCATAATTATGTATTTTACATATGTGTATAATTATATGTTGATTCATATTATGCATTTTAATCATCTTGATTTCTGGACAAGCTTTCATAACCATGCACTTCTATTTTATGCAAATCAACACTCAGAATGGCATTATATGTGTGTGCTGAGGTGACTGATTAAATAGCACAAATAAAGGAGAAATATTATAGAAACTTGGCAGATCATAACGGTACATATGCATCACTTCAAAATGATTTCTTATGTATTATCTCACTCCCAGCCTAGTTATAAGCTCTGGAAGTAAATTAACAATCACCATAAGTCAGAGTATGCATTTAAGAATAATTTAGGTACTCTCACTTTACAATGTATTGATATATGTGTGTAACATTTATATCACAGACAGTACATCCAAAACATCCTTTGAATCTGTGCCCTTCCCCACATTGTCACAGCAGCTGTCCTAGTTTCGACCGCCTTCTCCTTTACCCACACCTTCTCTCCTCTCTATCCTATCCCACATTCACTGCTGTCAGCATCCTCGACCTAAACACAGATCTGGGGACGTCCCTTCTCTGCATCAAAATTCACCACATCTCCCAACTCTCTGCTTAGAGCTTCATCCAGGGGCCTGCTGAAAAGTTGGAACAGACCACAGGAGGTGAACCAACTCCTTAAATGATTCATGTTTTGTGTCTTTAATATGTATGCACATTTTTTCATTCTAATCCATAATTTATCCTTGATGGATTTAATACAAAAATCACGATTTAGACTATTTGCATTTCTAGGAAAATAAGCCATGGAAAGCCAATCTTGCAGCTTCACAAAACCCCTGGTGTACTGCCTCCTTCAGCCATCAGAGATGCCCAGACGAGGGCCAGATGAAATGTGAGCATCCAGGACACCTCACACACTGCCCCTTTCCTGCCTCTGGACTCACACAGCAACTTTTAACAAAGAAAAATCACAGCTCCCAACTAGTACTGTGTGCTTCTGGATCATAATTCTAACAAAAAAAGGGTCTGTAAAACTATTAGTTAATACTATGTCTTTCCTCTAGGACTTCTTTATAAACACAGCACATAAGTTTTTGGAGAAGTCTTACAGCAAATCTGCAGTAAAATCAATCAGCAGGGAGCCGGTGTCCCACACAGCATAGCCGGCACTGTCCTCTCAGCCTTTCCTCCCTACCTGGAAAGCTTTCTCTATTTTCTTCAACTAGCAATTTTTTTCTGACTTTTAGAACTCTATTTACCTTCTCTTTGAAACCACTGTTAGCCACCCTGGTTGGAAGTAACATTTTCCCTTTGTAGATCTGTGGCACCTGATATGGGTGATGATGTTAAATTTTATCACATGTAGTGATCTTGGATTTATTTATTAGTCCCCAGCCAGATCCTGAGCTTTCTGACACAGAAGCAATCTCTGATTCTGTGAATTCTCAGACTACATCAGGTCTACAACAAAAGCCCAACAAGTACGTGTGGAATAAATTGAGGAAAGATTAAATGACGTTTTGTGAAAGTAAAATATGCAGCATCATATGTCATATTGCTGTCGTGCCCATCAGGGAATCTATGCAAATGAACAAAGGAAAGAATAACAAGATTTAGGAATGGAAAAACCAACAACTATGACCTCTAGAACAGCCCAGTCACAAAGGACAAATATGTAAAGAGAATCTACACCAGCCAAAATTTTGCCGTATGAATCCCTTAAGAGAACAACTGTGACTCTGTCCAGGGTGCTGAGATTTCTGCTGGAAAGACCTGACTCTGCTTCAAAAGCAGACAGAGCCAAGTCAGGCTGGAATACAAATGTTTGCATATTTTGTTATGTCTGATACAGAGACTTCCTTTTCATCCAGGATCTTAGGAAAGTCATATTTAATCAGTTACAGCTCAGACAGCTGAAATAAATTAAGCTGACTTTGTTCTGCAGAAGTTACCAATTCTAATGGAGGCAGCAGGACAAAGCCTTGTGAGTCAGATGGGGGTCTGTCTCCCCACGGCCCCACCTCTAATGACTAAGTGACCTGTAGCAAGCAGCCACACCTTTCCAGGACCAGACTTCCTGGGTTTTTAAATTTTATTTTAGATTTCTATCATTGTGCATATGATTAGGTTACACTGTTTGTGTTTGTTCAAGTTGTAACTAAGCCCTTCACCCTTACATTGGGCCCATTAGGTGAGAACTGGTTTTTGAGTTGAGTAGCTACATAATCAAGATGGAACAAATCTTTAGTAAATCACTGGTGTGTGGCAAACACTTTCTCTTATTCAATCCTCTAAAAACCCTGTGAAGTAGGTATTATTATTCTCAATTAACACACGAGAAAACAGGGCACTGGAAGGTAAAGTTGTTTGCTCAAGGCTACATGTGAACACACATGTGAACTTCCCAGCTGCCTGGCTGGGAAGTTCAACATGTTCACAGCAGGCTCCATGGTTAAGGTGAGACAGAGACTCTCACCCCCTCAAGTCTCCCAGGAGGCTGCTGCAAGCCTTCAACAGATGTGTTTCTGTAACACTGGAATGTCCATGTTGCATCATATGCCATGAGTTAATAGTTTTTATATTCTAAAGTGGTGAAAGTTTTTTTTCTTTAATTTCCACATCACTTATACCTAATTTGTACCTAACTTATGCCTAAACATCTAAGAGTCAACATTCCTAGTATTAACCTGGTTCTTTAAGGAAAAGACCCAGAGGTGACGAGAATGAAAGCTTGCCTCCTCTCCATGAGTGGTCTCTCCCACAGAGGAGGCTGCCACCGCCTTAGAAGCCTGCTATGCTTGCTCTATCCTGCTCCTCAGCTGAGTGGCAACTGCACTGTCACGCCTACCCACCAGCAGAAGGACCACCCCCAAGAGAAGCACCGGCAGGGCAGCCTGGCTAGAGCTGACCCTGGGCAAGGGGGAGCAGAAGGGGTGGGCAACCCTCTCTCACGCTATCATATGCCACCTGTGGAGCATGGTAGCTCAGCTGCCTGGTCCTTTCTCATTTATATACAAATTACTAGGGTCATGGTTAGCTTTGAAGTCTCTTAAAGTTGTCTCCCCATTCTTTAGTTCATCACAACAACCAATGACAGGGTCTATTTTCCTCACCTTGTTACTGCTACCTGGAAAGCTTTCCCTATTTTCTTCAACTAGCAAAATTTTTCTCACTTTTAGAACTTAAATTATGTCCCCTTTGAAGTCCCTGTCAGCAGCCCTGGTTGAGAACTAATGTTTTCCCTTTGTAGATCTGTGGCACACTGTATGGATGACTCTGTTAAATTTCATCACATGTAGTGATCTTAGATTTACCGATTAGTCCCCCAAACAGATCCTGAGCTCTCTGATAGCAGAAACAGACAACTCAGGCTGCTTAAGAAACATCCCTGTGATGAGCCATGCAGATATTGACAAAGCCAGAACCCAGGAAGGATGGCAAGCACAGATCCTGAGCTCCTTCAAGTAACAGAGGAACAGCAACTCATCTATCTTCACCTATAGCTCTCCTCTCGTGATAACTTTTACACATCGTCACATACGCATACAGCACTTTAAAGCATGATTTTGTCTATAGGAGGAAGCACACATCTGAGGCTGGTGTAATGCTGGAAAGGAAGCCACTCATCACAGCAAGTTGAACTAGGTTGTAAGTGATAACATAATGTGCTTCAACACAACAGTGTGGGTAACTGTTTGTAGTATTATGAAGCATCACCTCTCATCTTACTCCACTTTACTTCAATCTCCAGTGGGTTTTAGCACTTCCTACCTGGAACTGTGGCTTCCTCACCTCTTTCCTGCTGAGAAATAGCATTAGCCCTGAAAATACGAGATGCTCAAACCCATTTATAATGAACTACTTCTGTAAAGTATTTGTATTGTGTAAAAGATATACCAATAAAGATGAAAACTGAGTATTTAAACCCATCCAGAGAAACACATTTCAAGTTTACCCAGACCTACCAACTGAAGTGGGCACTTAAAAGGCCGCAAAGCAAGCTGCCCACAAGTGGACAGCTGCCTGAAGAGACAGGCACGTGCACCTCTGGGGCGGAGCCCTGAGTTCTCAGAGCAGGACTCTCAGTACCTCTCCTCAGCAGGAAGGAGTAATATGTCCATTACTGGGATGTGGGGGATGTCTCAAGGCCCACAGATAGCCCTCCACTGTCTGCCTGGACAGATTCATGAGCCGCGAAGCCCAGGCCAGGCCCAGCCCATACCCAAAGAAGTTACAAGTCACAGGCGGCAGAAAACTCTAGGGTGGCTAAATTGACACAGAATGTTGGGCTGACACACCATCAGAAAAACGAAAATGTGGACATTCTCTTCCTTTTCTTGCGGCTGATTTCCGACTCAGGATGCCTCCTCCCGAGTATCTAAGCTGTGGGAAAGGCAGAGCCCAAGTACCGGGGCACAGGTGGCAAGGCGAGAGAACGAGCCTCACCAAATCCCTCCCTGGCGACGCTTAGCACCTGGGAACGGTAGCTCTACACTGGGCGGTGCTCAGGCCTGGGAATGGGACAGAGCACTGCCCGCCTCGCCCTGGGCAACTAGAGTGTCGGAGGTCAGCCCCACCGCGCCACTACCCGACCCTCTCACCACCCCTGGGACCCTGGGCGGGGAGAGCACAGCGCTCCCGCCGAAGCGGGACTCACCACATCCATGATCTGCAGGAGGCTGAGCGAGAAGTAGACGGTGAGCGGCTGGGAGTCATTGGCCACGGGCCTCTCCAAGGGGTTGTAGTTCTTGACCAGCTCCTTGTAGAGCTTCCTCTGGAACTCGCCTTGCAGGGACACTTAAGGAGAGGAGAGCGGGCGCGCTGCTCACAGGAGGCTAGAGGGGGAGATGCCCGCGCCCCTACCAGAGACCCCCCCAGCCCAACTCGCACCACCCAGACAAGCAGCCCCGCGGCGATCCCGCCGCCCTAACCGGCCCAGGCGCGGAGCGCACAGAGCCGCCCTGGGTGCGCCCGGGATCCCGCGAAGGAACGGAGGGCGGGAGACGCTACCGCCCTACCGTGCATGAGCGACGCGGCCAGCGCCAGCCAGACGCCTCCCGCCGAGCGGCGCATGTTGGGTCCCGGGGCTGACGCGAGAGGCGCGCCCCGCGTCTCGGCTGTCGGCCGGGCCTGCGCTCCGAGCAGCGGAACCGCCTTCCCGCGCGGCTCGCGCGCCTTTAAAGAGCCAAGCGCGCCGCCGCCCCGCCCGCCCGCCCCCGCGCGCCTCCACGTGACGAGCCCCGCCCCCGCCCCCGCCCGCGAGGGCGCGCGGTCTCCGCGGCCGCGGGAGGAACTGCAGCCCGTGGCGGGGAGCGCCAGGTACGCCCCGCGCTGGTGACGCTCTGGGCTCCTCCACCCCCAGGCTCCGCCGAGCTGTCCCTCTGTGCCGCGCCTCCAGCCTTGCCAGGAGCTGTCCAAGGCCCGGCTCTGCCTTTCCCTTCTGTCCTTTGTTCCTACTCGGTTTCCTCCCACTCTCAGCCAGAAGCTGCACTGGGCAGCTGGGAGAAAGCGGGGACAAGTCCTCCAGGACTCCCTCCCCCACGCCAGCGAACCGGCGGCATCGATCCGGAACCAGGCTTGGAAGTCCCTCCAAGCAGACTAAACAGACCCAGACTGGAGGGGACGCCCCCTCCTACTTCCCGAAAGACCCGGCGTTCTCCCAGCGACCACTCGCCCGACATCGCTAGCGAGAGTCTCCCTGGGTTCTGCGAGTGCCAGCAGCGATCTGTGTGCGAGAAGAGATGCCGGGAACGCGTTAGGGGACTCTCGGTAGACACCCTAATTTGCGTTTCATTCTGTGTGAAAGGACATTCAAAAGATTGAAAACTTAACTCCCTTGCAGCTTCCTTGCTGCAAGCCCAGGGGAAGCTCAGAAAGGACCAAAGCCAGAGAGTGCAGTGTGGAGGGAGTTCTCAGTGTTGGGGAGGAGGCCGTTTCTGGAAAAAGGAAAGGAGGGAGCAGCTTCAAGAGTGGCTGTGAGCTCTGTCCCGTTTGCTCTCAAGAGAGGGTTGCTGAAAACCCAGGACAGCAGAGCTCCCTGTGTCCCTGTAGGGGCGCTGTTGCTAGCCTTCCTGCAGCCCCCAAAGCGTTTGAGCTACACCAGTTCAGCTTTCTTGGGCCTGCTCCCGCAGCAATGCTCACATTTCTGAACTGCCCCAAACAAAGGATTCTTAAATGACATCAAGAACCAGGGAAAGGCTCACCAAAAGGTACTTGAGCCTGAACGTACTCCAGTAACAGAAATGGGAAGGCTGAGCCTAGTGATTTAATTTGGAAGAATAATGAATTGCAATAAAGTGTCTTGAAGCAAATTTATTCCTAATAACAGACACTTGTATAAACAAATAATAATAAGTACAAGATCTGATAACTACAGTTAAGAGCCTAGAAGGAGGAGGATTAACTCTTGGGAACGGTCCATACAAGAGGTGACAACTGACCTGGGTTCTCCTCAAAGGAGAGGGGATGTTCTGCTGGGCAGAGGACAGCCTGGGGAACAGAGCACCCTGTCTTTAGCTATATCTGGCTCCCGAGCCCCCCCCCCCACACACACACACACACACACACTCTCCAGCGGTTGGAACACCACAAAGCGGGCATTTGGTGACGGAATGATGAGCGACAAGGAGATTGGCTGCTGGCAAAGGGGGAATGAGAGAAGGGAAATAAATCCAAGTAAGAATCTAAAAGGAAGCACAGAGGCTTCGACGGGAAGATTTTCTCTGGCGCTGCCTCCACTGGTCATGTGGAGGTGGCGTTCACCCTCCTGCACACTTGCTGCCTTCCGATCCAAAGGGCTGAGCCCATGAGCCAGTGGGACCAAGGGAATTTTTGCCCTTGAATATGGTCATTGGGATCATGTTCCTAAAACCAGAACTGCTTCCTTACCTCCATTACACCCTGTACTATCAGAAACCTAGAAATAAACCATTTTCAGGTAGGACAAGTAGTCAATAAATATTTATGTATTCCCTGTTATCAGCTGGCTAGGCACTTCGAGGACTTACAAGCACAGTCCACTCACAGAGTTTATAATTTAGAACTGCTATGTGTGGAAAAATAAATTCTAGTCCCTGCTGTGCCATTAAGTAGGTCTGTGAGTTTGGTTGTATTCATGCCTATCTGTGGGATTTGGGGGTTTTACTTTTAAAATAAAGGAAGGAGCAGGACATTTCTCCAAATACAGCTTACAAGTTATGCAGGTCCCACTCTCACTCCCATTTCCAACCTAAGGAGGTGGTAAATAAGAAAATTAACACATGCCCGAGCAAACCAAAAATAAGGAATCAAAGCATAAGAGTCTGAAATGTTAACACACTGGAGGGAGGCAGCCTGACTTTGGGGTGTGGGTCTGTGAGGGGTGGGAAACTGAAACAGAGGTAGGCACATAAAACAAGAGACTGGAACAATTTCCCCTCTCATGGAACAGAGAACAGAAAACCCCAAACATTCCCCAGGGAAGAGAGAGAAGGCATGTTTTTGGCTTGAGCCCTAAATAGGGAAAAAAAGGAATTATATATTTTAAAACCCAGAAGTGCATTAGGCTTAGTTGTGGAATCCAAATGTGTAATTAATACCCACGTGGTTTAGAATTCACAAAGTCCTCTGGAGGAATCATGATGTTCCTGAACGTAAGTTCAAAATAAAAAACATAAAACAATGGCCAATGGTAAAGGAAGGTAAGTAGGCAGAACAGGAAACTGTGTGCCCACAATTTGGGATAATAAGACTATCTGGAAAAAACTATAAAATTCGTATGTTTATAGTTATTGACCATGGTGGGTGTGGTCAGCTGCAATGATAACCCTCTATTCTCATTGACTTAACATTGCCAAGGTTTATTTCTTTTTCACACCACAATCAAAAAGGTCAAATGACTCTGCTGGGTGCCTATGAGACCTGGTTCTTCAGTGATACGAGATCCTGTTTTTGAATGGAGAGTGAATATGAGGCAAGGCAATTTTCAAAGAATTCTGAGAACTTTTCAGTAGTGTTGAAAGACATCAAGCCACAGATTCATTGGGTTGTGGATTCGATTAACTGCCAAATTTAATTTGTTAGTAGATTTTAAAGAAATTAATTTATATATTATGTATAAAAATAATTATTAATATAAGGAGATGTACATATATCTCCTTATATTAATAATTTTCAATAAGGAATGACTCACAATTATGGAAACTGAAAAATACTGAGACCTGCAGGGTCCAGGTCCACAGGCTACAGGCCCAGGAAAGCTGTGGTGTCGGTTTCAGAATAAGTCTGAAGGTCTGAGAAAAAGAAAGTCTGATGGTGTCACTGCAGTCTGACCACTGGCAGGTTTGAGACCCAGGAAAGGCATGCTTCAGTTCGTATGAAGGCAGGAAAAGCTGCCGGTTCAGTTTGAAGGAAAGACAGAGGGAATTATCACTTTCTCAGGGGAGGATCAGCCCTTTTGTTCCATTCAGGCCATCACCCCAGATACAGAAATATTCAGACTAATATTAACCAAATATCTGGCCACCTGAGGTCCAGTCAACACGTAAAAGTAACCATCACAATATCCGATGTGTTCCCCAAAGGTATGTTCAGAAATGTTTGTTGCAGCAGTGTTCACAATAGCGTCACAGTGGCAACAACCCCGTGTCCCTCATAGTACATAGTGTGGTGTCTGCTACAGTGAGATGCCACAGCCTTTTAGCACTCCTTCAACTCTGTCCTGGTCTGTCCCCTATCATGATCAGCTGGAAACATGAGCCTGGATCTATTGATTATCTCAGTTCTAAAAATCTTTAGTATGCTGATAACGATGAGATCTGTGGATGTACAGGTCAGGGGTGAGTCCAGGAGTTGATAAACAGATGTATGGGGTCACTTTCCTGAGCCCACTCCCTGCATCTCTCCAGCACTATCCAGTTCCCTGAAGTTCACTTTTTCAGTCCTCCTCTGGCCAGAAACTGCCCATTTTCACAGTTATCCCAGATACCAGGCCCATGTAGTACAGAGCAGAAAGAAAAATGAAAACCCCCGAGACGTACTCTTCCCTACTGGAGCTATGGCTACACTGAAAGCTCGAGAAGGTCCCCCCCCAGGCAGTTACTCCTGCAGTTGTCCATTGGCTGTTCTGCTCTTACTGTGACCCTGATGACAAAAGTGGCTGCGGCTAGGGTGCAAGAACCCGGAAAGGGAGAGCAAGAAATGGTCTCCCTCGCTCCCCCTGCATTCTTCTTTCCCAGTCTTTGCATATGAACTAGAGGGTCTCTCTTGTTTCCCTGACTGAAACTGAGTTCTCACTCAATTCTGGCTTTCAACTGCATCAAATTTAGGATTAGAAATATGCAAGCAAAAAAAGGTTAAACTCACCCGCAGTTTATTTGTACTCTGAACTGTGGAAGTTTCCCTTGATCTGCATACTGATATTTACTTTGCAGAGTTCCCAAATTGCTACCTAAGCATTCTGTCCTGGTGTCTGTGGATAGCTGCATCCCCTGGGACCGGAAGGTTGGCGTGTGTTTACTCCATCTGCCCTGGAACTGGATCTTGAAAGGTACTTGTATACCTATTATTTAGGTGAGGTTACTAATTTAATGTATATAGGCAATAATTTATTTTATCAATAGATTGTTTCTTCATTCACTTTCTTTCCCTCTGTGTTTACTCTTAAACACACTGAAATAACCTTGGGGTTATGAAAAAAATAAACTCAGACCCACTCAGATGTTATTAATTGGTGATTTATTCACATCTGTGCAGGGGGCCATTGTTCTGAGACAAATGGCCCCGAAGTGCAGGGTTTTTTGTCTTTTATACCTTTTTTTCTCTGTGTAGCGTAAGCGAGAGGGTGGGGGTGGGGAGAGGAAATGACGAGGAACGTTGCCGTTGGTTGGGTTATAGCTTGGTCGTCAATGGATACATCTCATATCATGATGGTTATGATTATATAACAATAATTGATCAATGGATACATCTTAAATCACAATGGTTAAGGTTATACAACAGTAATTAATCAAGCTTTGGTGAGTTTTCACCATTGTTCATCTACTGAGCAAGCCTCAGTGAGTTTCCCACTGTTGTTCATCTACTGAGAACTTGGGGGTTTTGTGAACTTGGGACTTCCCATGCCTCTTTGAATTCTGGAGAACATGGGAATGGGCTGGGAGGAGTGGGGGAACGGGAGAGGGCAG